ATCAGACTGTGGATATGAAAGATCATCCATAGAATTATAATATATTCAATTGTTGTGATCAAATGATAAAATATAATTAATTATTATTTATTTTTTTTTAATTCTAAAAATATAAACTAAAGAAGAAATTTTCAATTGCTCTATGGATATGATAGATAAATACATATATCTAAAACATATTTAGTCTTTATAGGCTGAGAAAAATTACATGTTCAATTTTTTTTGTAAATTTATATTTTCCCCAAATATCTTCATGAAATTTCCATAAATTTATTAATATCACAAAAAAAAATATTATTTTGAATGTAAGAAATGTAGATCAACATAAATTTAAACATTCAAGAAAAAATTAAATCACAAGATATTATAAAAAATTAAAAAAAATTACCTACTTTTGCCATATTTTTTCAAAATTTGAAAAAAAAATAACGATTCACACTTCTTTCTTGCAATTTTTTGCAAATCTAGCACTCTAGGAATGAGGTTTGGAGTTTTAGAGTCATTTGGGGGTGAAATAAGGCTTATTTCAAGGAAAAGAAGCTTGTTTTTCCCCTTTATTTTTTTTTTCAGTTTTTGGCCATATCTTTTTCGTCGATACGCTACCGATACGCCCCAATACACCTCCGATATGGGTCCAATATGCATGAAAAAAAGATGAGACGCCTGATTTCCATGTGTATCTCATATCTGTTTTTCAAAGATACGATACGAGACACCCCTAAACCTTGATCACAAGAGGTGGGAAACCCTTAAATTATTGGGGCACTTGGCACGAAAACAACAGTTTATTGAGACTAGCTCACTCGAAGTAAAGTTAAGCAAAGCAAGAAATTGTTGGGACCTCTATGGTTTTCTATTTATTAATTGAATGTAGTGATTTGAGCAATAATTTAAGTGCTTGTAGAAAGTGGGTTTTGGACTTAAAGACTTGGAGATGGAACTCTCTTATCTAATGTGCAACACAAACATGGAAAGGCTAACTACCATGTGAATTTTGGAGTTATTATGATTTGGAAGAATGGAATGGCAGTTTACATCTAGTGAACCACTTTCTCCATGGCCTTATCAATGATGGGAATTCTATGAGAGAATAAAATGTTGGGAGGCAAATGGTTCATTTTATGCAGTCTTAAGACCTTGGGGGATTGATATGTATATTGTTATGAAGAACACCTATGTGAGTACACAAGTTGTTAAGTTTTATGATTGGAATGAATGAGCATGTTTCACTAGATGAGGTGGAGGACAGGGGAATTTGTATGTAGGGAGCAAAAGGAACTTTTTTAGTTACAACTAGGGGTGGATTCGAGCCGAGCCGAGCTGAATACTACTAGGCTCGAGCTCGGCTCGAAACTGTTCTACAAGGCTTGAGCTTGGTTTGAGCCAGAACCTTGAGCTCGAGCTTGGCTCGAGTAAAAAATTCATAAGCTCGATCTCGATTTTGAGAAAAAAATATTTTATAAAAATAAAATATTGTATTTGATATTTAAAAAATTAAGAATTATAATAATTAATAATTATAATAATTATAATATTTTTATTATATATATTATTTTCTACAATTTTATTATATATATATTTGAGCCAGCTCGCGAGCCTCATGAGTTGAGCTTTAGTAGGCTCGAGCTCAAGCTTGGTTGAAGCTGAGCCGAGTCGAGCTCGAACAACTTGTGAAAAGTTCGGCTCGTTGCCACCCCTAATTACAACCGTTATTTTTCTCTTATGACAAGAACCCTTGTTTCATGGTTAGTCTCATTTGTATACCAGCTATCCCAAACAATGAGATCTTCCTTTCAAGTTTCAATATATGAGATACCCTTTGGAAGATGGGTATTAAGAGTTGCTTCTTCGGAAAACTGAAACTCTTCCAAGGCTAACTTCTTTATTCAGATGAAAACCACATGGATGCAGCCATGGTGTCATCAAGGTGATGAAAAAAATAGCTTGAAAACATGTCTTGGTTCACTAAATTGATGGGTTTATGTTGATGTAGGTGGGCCTGAGGGGGCTTTGCAGTGCATTACACAGTAATAGGTAGGGGGCATGAAGGTTTACCCAATGAATTTGAACCTACAACCTAGCTCTGTTACTAGTTTCTATGTTAAGGGATTACTGTTGTGCCAGAAGTTCTTGTTTGTAGCCATCTGATCTGCATCTAGATTTTAATCTATGTATAATAATGAGCTAACCATCTAGGAAAAATATTCTCTTTGATTTGAGCATTTCTTAAGAGTTAGAAAAGTAAGTCATTTAGTTTAAAACACTTCAGTTATTAATAGCAATAACAATTAATGTTGATTCAGATTTTGATATTTGGATCCCTTGACCAACCTATGAACCACCAATTCTGAAGCAGAAATGTAAATGAAGCCTCACAAAATTGGGTTAAAGTTGGACCTTGAACAAATATGTACTGTACATTTGATATTACAAGTTAACCTTGGTATTTATAAAAACAAATAAATTAATATAGAAACCATTACTACTATACTAATATATCAACACAGGAATGGGTGTGCATGGACTAAAAATATACCTAAAAGCCAAGCTGGCTGATGGGTCATCTAATCGTACTTCTCAGGTTAATTGGGCACAACCTCATTGCTGATCTCTTAATGACTCCAAAAAACCAACCTAATGAGACCAAATTTGTATCTAGCTTCATATATACTGCAAAAATTTCAAGTTGGTTTTTTGCTCATGCAGAGAAAAAATGTTGAATTTACTAAAAATTCAAACTTTGTACCAAAAAATCATGAAAATTGTTGCAAATAGATTTAAATCATATATAAATACATTTCTATATGATTGACTCTTGACTCTTTGCATCAATTATGAATTCATTTAGGTTCATGGGTGTAGGCTATGCAGTACTAAAACTCACATATGAGATTTGTTGGCTAATAATCATTCAAATAGTTCATAATACCTCTTTGCAGAATATCTTTTGTTAACTATTGCCTTCTATTTGTGGCTACAAGAATTGTCCAATTTACCATCCACTTGGATTGAATTTTGAGCTTGTTAGACAGCTTGGATTGATAAGAAACAATAAAGTCATATAGATTAAAGGAGTGTAACTATGAACAAGTACTTGAGTATAAACTATGAACAAGTACATGTAGAAGGTGCTCTTCTATAAGGTGTTCATGTAGAAGGTGCTCTCCAAAAAACAATGTTATTATTTTGATTGATGTGGGCCCATATGCTTCCATGATATATATTTTCCATTGAGTGTAGTATGTATACTTGTGTTATTATTTTGATTAATAAAAAAAAAATGAATGAGAATGAAATTTGTAACCAAACATGTTACAAATTTTATTCATTTTTGCTGCAAAAAAATTCATTTTTTAGAAAAAAAGTGTTTGATTCGTAGTGATATTTTCTCATTCTTCCCATTTTTACTTATTCTTTTCTATCTTAGAATTTCATCTTGGGTAAGAATGAGAAAGAATGGGAGTTAATCCAAACATGGCCTTAGTGTATCTGTCGAACTTTTATTTGTAAGATATTACTTGAAGTACTCATCCAACTATGCTATTGGTTAACTTGAGTAATTTAGGCAATTGCTATGTTATTGATTACCCATGATTATGATGATTTTGTGAACCTTCGAGGGTTGATGATTAACATTTCAGCATCCTCATCTTTAAGAGTAATATGCTTTTAATGTTATTCTTGAATCATTCATGATGTATATTTCAGATATGCCATTATTCCCCCTCCGTGCTCTTGAAAGTTTATTATTTGTATTTTGTGAAACAGGGGATATATGGCATGAAAGGTTTTAAATGCCTCATTCTCTTAAAAGCATTCAAAATAGGGGGAGCAAATTCAATCTCACCCCTAAAACAAGCACTAAAAAATGTTTGATTTAGCCAAGCTACCAATCTTGGTCGAGATATTCAATTGAAGTAGATTCTTTAGATGCATAAATTTATTTTCCAATTGATATATTATGATACTTGACTATTTTTCTCTTCATATCATCTAAATTGTCTACAAGGGGAACTTTGGGAAATTGTTGGAGTATTTCCCAAAGTTATGAATGATTCAAGGGGAATATACTCATATAAATTCCTCATGCGATTCAGTGGAAGCTAAATGGTTACACTATAATTATGATATCTCAATGTTTATTAACCATTTAGTTAAATGAGCTTAAATGTTAACGTCTATTATGATTAATTGAGACTATGATAATTTAGTTTATATTCATTTTATGAATGTCATATTCATTATGTCTTGTTAAATAGTTTAAATTCATTGTACATCATTAAGACCGTGTTTGGTTCGAAGGAAAAGGTAGGGAAAGAAAGGAAAAGGTAGAGAAACATTTACATATCTTGTATAGATTTTTTTGTCTTTCCCTACATTTTACTTCAAACCAAACATAGTCTAAGTAGAAACATCTATCTAGGATATTATTCAAGAGAGCAAACTTGGTCCTCTTAACTATTTGCTATCATTTTTTTATTAATGATTAGTCATCATAAAAAAAGGGGGAAATGTTGACCCTATATATTTTGGTGATATCAAATTCATTGAGAATACTAATGTGTGTTATAACAGTGTTAAGCATGCAATTAACTTGTGTAAAGCTTATTTGAGTTCAATTATATTAAGCAATAAGCATGATTGCTACTTAAGTCTTTCATCAATTATGATGATACAAATGTCCAAATCAGACGTTCGAGATTTTATCGGGACCCATTCGATAGGTTGAGCTGATTCTCGAAACACTTGACAGGTGACAAATTATATAAACGTTTTGTATTCTTACACCCAAGACGCCAGGTAATACCCATAATGAGACACCTTGAAAGTTAATGGGCCTCATGTGGGCCCACTCTTGCTCAGATCTATCACACAGTGACACAGGGACAGCCGGACAGGAATCACAGGATATAGCGAGGAAAAGAAATTTACCAAAACATGCACGGTTATTTTAAAAATTTACCTTCAGGACATGGCTCCAAATGGTTGCTGCCTTGCTGGATCCCGAAGAAATCTGTCAAACTAGACTAGAAAAGAAAAGGAATTTTCAATTTTCTCTTCTTTCAATTTCTTGATTTTCTTCCACTCGGACTCCACAGGTCGTGGCATCGGTACTGGATTTTGAGATTGTTGTTTCAAGCTTTCATCCGAACCCTAAAGTTCCGTGCTTCCATCTTATCAGTTATTAGTCTTGTGAAAATACAGGAGGAACGGAGACGAAACCCTAGTAAAGGAAGGAGAAGGAGAACGTGCAAGGTTTTCTTCCATGGCGACGATGGTGAGCTCTGCGAGTGGCCTATTGGCGATGCTGAACGAGCAGCATCCGTTGTTGAAGCTTCACGCGCTCTCCAATCTCAACACCTTTGTTGATTACTTCTGGCCCGAGATTTCAACTAGCGTTCCCGTTATGTATGCTCTAATTTCCCTTTTTCTCTTTGATTGGTTCAAATTATTGCGAGCTTGCAGTCGTTTTCGTCAAGATTGCAGATCTCGGAACTGTCTTTTGCAGGACTTCTTAGGACCCCGAATGTGGGAGTAGAGCTTTATGATCCTTTCTTACATAAATTGTAGATACAGTTTGTTGTAAATTGGGGTCCATACTGGTTTCAAACTCCACTCCTTGATCACTTTTGCTGTTATAGAGAAGTTATCTTCAATATATACATTGCACAGTGTCCATAGTCCAAGCCTTTCAAATTTGCCGCTTCGATTATGTTGGATGGATGTGTTATTTGTTCTCATGCCGACAGCTTACTCCTTTACTTTTGTTGTATCTATCCATATGGGACTTGCTGGAGTCCCTAGGTTGGTTTACATGACAAACTACATTACACCCAAAGAAGATAAACGTTGTCATCACAATCTCCATTCCTTCAGGACCATTACAGTAATTAAAGGAAAGAGTGAGTGTGTGAAGTAAGGGACCGGTTAGGACACTTTGTTACAAATGAATAAGTAATACATTGGAATACTGTGTTTATTTATAAAATTTTTGTTTCATAGATTTCAAGTTACCAAGGTGAAGGATAGGGGAACTGGGGGAGTGTGTGGTATGAATGATCTTCATCAAATTAGTATGAAATTTATATATAGAAAATCAACATATTCATAACAAGTAAAAGAAGAAAGAAAAAAAAATCCAGAAAATGTCTTGATTGAACCCTAACAAATAAGACATAATAAAAGAAAACTAGTATATAAACCCACAAACTCAATAATTTGGTTTATTAATGTCTATTTTATTATTATACTCAAAATCATCATCTAAGCCTTATTCTTACTTTACGGGGTTGGCTACATGAATCCTKCTTCACCATTCTGTTCTGTTAGTGCCATATCCATTGTTAAATTATAAGTGCTTAAATCATTTCATACTACTTCAACCCATCTCCATTTTGGTCTGCCCCTAGCTCTTCTAACCTAGTCAATTTGTAACAGATCGCTTCTTCTTGGGTGCTGTAGGTGGTTGCCTATGCATGTGACTAAACCATCTTAGTCCACTTCCTTTCATTTTGTCACCTCTTGGAGCTAATCCTAGGTTCCTTTGAATGACTTCATTTCTGACTCTATCCTTTTTAATTTTTCCACTCATCCATCTCAGTTCAGGATTCATGACAATAAGAGTTTGGCAAAAGTTTTTAGTGCTGGCTGCGAACCTGACACAACTCCTTTATTTGGGCTTGGGACCGCAGTGTAAGACAAGCTCACACTAACAGATAGACAGAGTTATAATCTCATAACATAAAAAAGAAATATCATATAACCTTGTACAGAAATGTAGCTGCTTAAGCAAGGTGATCATCCATGGGTGCCTTGTTGCCAAGGCATTAGGGGTAGATTCGAGCCAAGCCGATCCGAATACCTGGCTATTCGAGTTTGGCTTGCCAAAACAATGTTAGGCTCGAGCTCGAGCTTGATTCGAGCTAGAGACTTCAGCTTGAATTTGGCTCGGCTCAAAGGCTTGCAAATTCGAGCTCAACTACGAGCCAAGCTTCCTATAAAAGCTAAAAATATACATATAAAAATATTTTTTATTTTACATACAAAAAAATAATAATTATAAAAGTTATTTATTATTATACATAAAAATAAAAATATTATTATATATAATAAAAATTATTTATTATATATGTATGTATATATGTATACACATGATAAATAATATGTATACATATATATGTGTGTGTGTGAGGCTCGATTAGGCTTGTGAGCCTCACGAGCTGAGCGTCATTGGGCTTGAGCTTGACTCAATTAGCAAAGGAGCCTATATATTGGGCTCGAACTCGGCTCAAAGCTTGGTTTAAACTGAACCAAATCGAGCTTTTCACGAGCCGAGCTTGAATAGCTCGTGAAAAGCTCGATTCGTTTCCACCCCTACTAGGCATTGCCTTGACAATTGTGTTTTTGTTTGATATTAACTAGTGATTTAGAAGGTGCATCCCAGGCGTGTCTAGGTGCTCAGGCTAGGCGCATTTTAAGGTATGCACCTAGGTCCTAGGCGCATTTTAAGGTATGCACCTAGGTCCTAGGCACAACACTTTCAAAAGGCGTGTGCCTGGTGCGCCTTGCACTTCAGCCCAGGTGTGCAGCCATGCGCCTTTTTATTTTTTTGCGCCTTTTTATGAACCTAATGGCTGGGCCAAACAAATCCATGTTAGGGTTTTAAATTCTTAATCCGCTTTGGTTTGTTCGTTCACTGAAGCTTTGAGAGCCCCCCTATTTGCTAATGTTGTTCATTTATTCATCCTACTAAAATATCTTCTTAAAATACAGTCAACATTATAAAATCATTTATTTTTGTGTAAGGATTAAKAATTTAAGACCCTACCATGGATTTGTTTGGGCTTGCCTCAAGGGGCTTGGTACAATGGCGGCTTGTAGAATCAGGAATGCAAGATGTTTTACATCACATTAGCTGTTTGAAGTAATGCAATTGAAGAAAAAAAAAAGAGATTGTGGGTTTTACATGCTTGAAAATGTTTTATATGTTTGATTTTATTTTTAAATTTTCATTTGAATGCGCTTTACATGTTATTTTCATGTATTTTAATTTTAGATAATAGGTTTTCTAAAACATTTATTTTAAAATTTAAGTTTATATTTTTATTAATATTATGTTTAATATTTTTTAATATTTTTTTGTATTTTTTTGAATTTTCTGACCTTTTTTAATTATTTTGGCATTTTTGTATTTTTGCGCCTTACACTAATATTAACCTATCCAAATATTTTCAAGTCTCCATCATATCCATTGCTTAACAAATAGCATTTTTTTTTTATCAGTAAAAGCTTAACAAATAGCATTTTATTCACATCATTTCATGATTGAAGGAGAGTTTAGTTGAAGGAATATGTCATTGGTTATTTTCTTTGGACCTCATTTTATTTCATTTCAATGGAAATTGCACAGGAATTGCATTTTTCTCACTCTTATAGATGCTTTAAGTTTTTGCAGGGCTGGTATCACATTTTAAGGCATGCACCTTGCTTCAACCTAGGCATGGCCTCTTTCACAAGATCCACGCCTGGTGCACCTAGGTGCATGCCTTTAATAAGTTTTTTTTTTGGTTATTGTTTAACATCTTATGTGTTTTACACCATTTTATTAGTGCTTGAAAATTACCTTTCGTTGATGCTTGTGCACTAGTAATAGTTTACAAACCTTTAAAACAAAAAAAAAGGGACTTTTTGAATACCTAAAGCTCTAGTTATTGGTGATAGGATCTCAGCAAAATTGTCTATCCAAAAAAAAAAAAAAATCTAAGATAGCAAAATTTCCACTAAAGAAGCAACACCAGGACAACTGATCTGCGATCTCTAGCCATAAAACAGACTGAACTATGGCGTAAATCATACAACAAACCCCTTCATATATACAGGCCCAAAAATTTGGGTCAGTTGCACTGCCTTGTTTCATTTTTTTCATAAGCAACAGTAAATATTTCATTCAAGAAAATTGTTTATCAAAAAAAAAAAAATTTTCATTCAAGAAAATTGCCACACTGGGTTGGGAGATCAGCTAATGCTTTTGCTGATGTCTTGGCAAAACAAGGGATAAATAGGGAAACATTGTTCTGGGCACAATTGTAACTATTGTTTTAATTTCAACATTCATGTTTTCTCTGTTGTAGTTTCTGTATTTGCTGTTTGGAGAGGCTGCTCCTCGCACCTCTGAGGGGATCTTCTTGTATCTGTTCATTATTTTAATGGAACTGATGTTATTTACAAAAAGAAAAAAAAATTGCCACACTGCTCCAGAAGAAAACAGCAGGGAAAAACATATACAACAGACCCAAAGGTGATACAAGATAAGCTCCTATACACAAGGAACTCTAATTATAGCAGTAAAGGAAATTACAAATTACAACCTGGCCCTGGACATCCCCATTCAAACTGGTTCCTTGCCACCCGTCCTAGTGAAAATATCTACAAGTCCATTAGAACTTATAGGCACCCAGTCAAATGAGCTATCAATATGGAGCCCGAATATTGTGCCTGTCTCACTATGGACAATTAGTTCATGCTACAAAAGTTTTTCACGATTGAAAGAGGGCATTTTCGGTGGTGGTCCTTGGCTCCTTGCAGTAAATTCAAGAGGACATATTAGGGAATGGTTTCAAAGACCAAAATTAAAGGAAAAGATTCTGCTGGAAGTAGTTTCCTTGATAAGTCACAAAGTTTGAGGTTGAAAAAGAGGATGTGGGACTTCTTCGTAAAGGTCAATTAGAAAGTTCCTTGACAAGTCACAAAGTTTGTTTTAAGTTCTTTTCTTTCTAAGAGGTAGAATAGAATATGTGTGTGTACATATGTATGTATGTATGTATGTATGTATGTACATATATACATGTATATGCATATGTGTATGTGCGTATGTATATATATGAAAGGTAGCCTGCTTCTCTCCTGGACTGATGGAGGCTTATGTAGTAGTCAGCTTCCTACCAGAATGTCTCCTTGGTCAAAGAGCCAAGCCAGCGCAGGAAGCAAAAAAACTTGCGCGAAGGACGTTTTCTTCTCTGCCCTCTCCTCTCCAAAAGCCAAGAGAAAGACTGCATCCCTTTCCTTTGGTAGCTATTTTCCCAAGGATAGCAGTATACACACATATATGTTTGCGTGTGTCTGTGTGATTCAGGTCTTAACTACTTTGGAACAGCCAAAACTGATTCCAACCCAAATTATAATCAGGACACATAATACAGACACAGACCCTATAAGTGGTTTGGTTCGTTTCAGGTCTGTCCAATGCATTGACAACCCTATTGACATGCTTGAATTGTCAAGTGCTTGAAGCACTTTGGCATGATCCACTTTCATTTCCTTTCACTTTCACTTTGAATTTGTTTCATGTTTCATGCTTGTGTATTTTGATTTAAGCTAATAAGCTTAAATAAAACATTTAATTTCTCTTA